CAGCACTGGCCCAAAGTCAAAGGAAGTAGCAAAAGTTTAATATGCTTCACAGAGAAATTGTTGCACCAGTAAATTTCAGACAGCTACATTTCCTTTGAGGGCTTTTATGCTATTCAGGCTGCCGGAGACTGCACCGCTAGCAGTAGGAGGAAAGCAAAGGAGGCTTGCTACTCTTGTTAATAACCGCTTACGTAACCCTGCTCACATCAACATCAAAGAGCATATTTGTTGCCAAGATTTTGAACTGTATCCTTTTGGTACACCCCAAAAACTCTGTTTCTTTGATGTGGTCTCGCTTTTCACTTCTGTGGAGACGGTCAGACTACAGCAAGACAGCTCCTTAGAAACAGAACCAGCTGTGCCACCAATCAGATTTGCATTACCCCCACATATTTTAGATACAAGGAGGGTTTCTACAGACAAAAACATTGATGTGCCATGTGCTCCCCAGTGTCACCCAGTACAGCAAACCTCTACATGGACGAAGTGGAAAGTAAAGCTCCTGGCTCTTTCAAAGGGACAACACCTAGCCACTGGTACAGATAGGTGCATGACACCTGGCTCAAAATCAAACCAAAGAAATAAAAGCCTTCACTGTTCACAACAACTCAGTGGAAGACGCAAAAGATAATAGTTTACCAGAAGCCCCCACACACAAACCAGTACCTCCTCTTTGACTCCCACTGACCTTTGGAACACAAACTTGGAGTAATCAGGACCTGCAACGCGAGTCAGAAAAACGTTCCCTCTAGAGTAAGAAAAGGAATACACACATGTAAAGAAAGCTCCTAAAACATGTGGTTATCCCAACTGGGCCTTCATCAAATCAGTAAAGCTGCACAGAGAGAAGGTCAGATGCCAACTAGAAGGAAACAGAAGGACAAATGGAACAACATCCCTTATGTAGGAGCAATTTTGAGATCTCTCCCCAGACGCCTCACTCTCTCACATCTTTCATCAAGTGATCTCAACAGGTAAGGCAAGCTCTCACGTTAGCTTCACCCAAAACCTCTGCTGATAGTGACCCATGCCTTTTTCACAGCTTGTGTTGGGATACATGATCAATACTTGCTCAACAGCACTCTTAAGGGACAACTCCCACTAGGTTTTAAAAATGTGTGACTTTTCTAGTGTTTGTTTTTGACCAAACCAAAACAATTTGTATTTTCTGCTTTGTGGCGGAGTATCAAACACAGCGTCTGTACTCATTCAGAAGGATCTGCAGAATCATGTCTCATTCATGTTAAGCCAACTGTTATTATCTTGTCCACATTCATAATGAGAGGGCACAGCTGACTCGCAGGGAAAGCATCAGACAGCTGTGGAAGCTGCAAAGTCATAATCACCGTTATGATATTCCTGGAGACATCAGACACAAGCCTGGGGCTGCCTTTTATTACCAGCAGCTGTCTGATGTTTTAGAAATAAACAAAAAATACTAAAACTAAAATGTTAAACATTAGTCTATAGTCCCTAAAAAGAAAAATAATTCTTTATAATTCATTAACATTCCTCATCTTGTGGCAGATGTGACATATTGGCATTAACGATGACAACAGCTGTCACAGTTTAAGCAAAGATTAAGCTCCAAACCTTCCTTTGCAA